AGAACTTCACCAGCGCACAGAAAATGCTTGTGCTTTAATTCGTGGTGATTTCGGTATAATAATATTTCTTTTGTTAAGTTCTACAAGCTGTTAAAATAAATGACTCATAGTCTACAGTCATTTTAAAAATAAATAATTTGCAATATATTCTTGAAAAATCAACGATCACACACACACTCCACCAAGGACAGTGATTCTATCTCAAATTAAAAATGCTTATCCGGCCATAGTTCTATGGACGCCTCGAGCCTTTTAAATGGTTAAAACGGGTTGTGTTCGTCAAAATTATGCAACAAACTTACCTTTTAACTAATAAGGCACATTTTTGCGGTAGCCAGGCAGTATTATCGTACTATATACTCGTTACATCAGCATTGTAATCTCGATATCAACAATAGCCTTAGTGGGGGTAAATGAGGTTTATGGGGGTCTAAGCTTATTGGGTTTTAACCGTTTCAAGATTGAGGGGCCATGATCCTGTAAGCTTTGACTCCTGAAAATCTTAAACAAATTTCATTCAATTTAACTGCTCTTACGATTGCTTGCGTGATCCTTTTGATCCCCAGTTTAGTGCCCATAAAAACACACATTTAGAGGGTTTGAGTTACAAAGAAAAGCACTACTCATTATCTAATAGGTGTTTCGTTAAGAAGTTTATTTTTCAATATATTATTTCATATATAGGCAACGTGCCAAAAGTCTAGACTTGTCATGGTATTTCACTTGAGTATTGTCTTGCATTTCGGCATGGAAAATTGTTAGGCTACCTCGATGATAAACGTATTTCGTACAATTATTCCACAAAATTGGCCTACTGATGACGTACTAGTTGCTACCTAAAATTAAGCATGTGGTCTGCGTATCATTCAGTTCCAGCAAGACAGTGCCACTAGCAAGTAAAAGCATGGTTTTGCTGTGACAACAATTTGGTGACCATGTTATTTCTCTTTTCAGACCAACAAATTGGTACACCCTGATATGTAATATCACACGTCTAGACTCTTGCAATGCATTTAAAAACCTTTATTTTATGTAGATTGTTTCATATGATGCCTTTGGCTTATATACAGGGTGGCCCATACATGTGTGGACGGAATATTACTCATGAACAAATACATTCTGGGAAAATCTATTTATGGGACGTTATACATGACATTTGAGGGCACATTTCTAAAATATTGGCCATTATACAAGGTGTCCCAGTTTTGACCTACATATCAAAGTTGTGATTTTTCAAATATAATGCCTCAACTTTTATTGCATATTTGGATAAACCAATTCAAAAGAAGAAAATTGATATAACATACTATCCGGTTATGGTAATTAGCTACTGAGATATAAGGTGTTCTGTCCAGAAAAACCCCCCACTTCGGCAACCCCTCAGTCCGCCATTTTGAAATTTGGAGTGCTGAATTCTGTACAAAAAAAAACTTACACACCTCAGCTTTTGTCTTATTTGTTTTTCGAATTTTATATTTTGCTCATACAGGGTGATCAAAAACGCGAATTGTAGTGTTTCTCAAAAATTTCAAATGCATCACCCTGTATATTTGTGCAAGTTTGGATTAAATTTTTTATAAGCTTTTTTGATACTAGACACATAAGGGTTTTTACGGCTATTTTTTTGGCTATTAGCACGCCTTTTATGGAACGGCTTAATTCCTTAAAATATCGCATCATGCTTGGAAACAAATAAATTGTTGATTAGGTACAAACTGTCAAAATTAGCTTTGTGGGCATTATTATTAAAAACGTGTTTGAAAATGATTTTTTTTAAGAAGAAATGGTGAATATGGTGTTCGTTTTGGGCGAAGCCCAATGAAATAGTTTCCTAGCATCTCGCATTATATCTTGGCCTACATCTTGCCTCCTAGATCACCAGATAGGACACCGATGGACTTCTTTCTATGGGGCTACGTTCAGCAAGAGGTTTATAGATATCCACCATCTACCCCGGAAGATAAGAAGGAAAGGGTTAAGGATGCTTTTCTGAATATAAGGGGACACATGCTGAGGGATGTGCAACGGTCATTTATCAAAAGACTACGGCTGTCTATTCAACATGGTGGAGATATTTTCGAGCTGTTTTTGTAGATTAGGTCTTGACTAGTGATAGTTGTTTGTTTATGTTGTTGTTATAGTTGCCTTTCTCTATTACGCTTGAAGTTGAACACTGATCTGATTGTTATTATTTTTTACGTCAAATCTGTATTCTTAGTGGCAATATGGAACTAGCCCACTGTTTGTCTTTTGCTTCCATGGATGATGTGATTTTTTTCCTTAATTTTGGTGTGTTGTTCTATTAAGAGCTTAATAACTCAAAATCTAGTGATTTTATCCAAATCAAATGTTATACTAAGAAAAAGCTGATAAAAAATTAAATCCAAACTTGCACAAATATACCGGGTGATGCATTTGAAATTTTTGAAAAAAAGTACAATTCGCGTTTTTGTCCACCCTGTTTGAGCAAAAATGAAAATTCGAAAAAGTAACAAACAAGATAAAAGCTGAGGTGTGTAAGTTATTTTTGATACACAATTCAGCGCTCCAAATTTCACAATGGCGGATTGAGGGGTTGCCGAAGTGGACGGTTTTTCTGGACAAAACATCTTACATCTCAGTAGCTAATTACCAAAAGCCCATAGTTTGTTATAGCAATCTTCTTCTTTTGAATTGGTTTATCCAAATATGCATCAAAATTTGAGGCATACTATTTAAAAAATCACAACTTTGACATCTAGGTCGAAATTGGGACACCCTGTATATTGCCAATATTTTAGAAATGTGCCCTGAAATGTCATGTATAACATGCCATAAATAGATTTTTCCAAAATGTATTTGTTTATGAGTAATACTCCGTCTACACATAGATGGGCCACCCTGTACAGACAATGAAAAACAAAACCGTATTGCTTTTGTGTGCATTTACTTCTTAGGAAAGGGATGCCACGAGGAGGATAGGGGACGTATGATCAAGCCTTTTAAAAAGTATTATTATCATTATGAAATACAGTGCACTGGAAGTTTGCATTTTGGATGCTGGATTCGATATCGCTCAGCCAAGCCGAAGATGGACATTTGTGAAACTCCGCAGCATTGACAGTGTTTTGCATATTAGCAAATAGTTATAATTTTGATAACATTGAAATAAGAACACTACGAGTAATAGAGTCCATTGGGCACATGTAATGACTTTAATTATTCGCAAAGGTTGCGTTTGTGTTTGGTGAAACCGCGTTGATATTCTGGAATGCCTTTGAGTCTATGCAAAGTTCAAAGTCCGCGTGTATGAGCCGGGTACATTTTTTCTTTCGTGTAGCTTTGGAACCCGAATGCTAAAACTGATCAATTTGATCAACCGTTAACTTTGGTGTGTCTGCTTACAATCCATTGATGTCTTGAGAACTGAGAACTCGCCAAGGGGCGTGGACTCAGAGCCTAATTTTGGAACATTAGAATAATTTCGATATTCGTATTCTTCGAACAGCCCTGTAGTTGACAACACGATTATAGATCATGATGGAGTGATTGCTTAGATGATCCTCCCAATAAACAGTAGTGGAGGTTCAGTTCTTCCATCTTTTTCTGATATAGTGTTTCCACTTGATCCTCGTGTCAAAGGTCATACCTAGGTACTTAGTGGTTGGATCCAATTTTATACTGCCGTTCACACCTATTTGAGGAGAATTTCTCAAATCTTCGGTTCGTGATGCAAAAGTGAAAAGATTCCAATTCCGTCAGTTTGGCTTTCTACTTTTGAGTCCATTTCACTAAATTATTGGTAGTACGGCAAGCTACCAACATAAGTTACTAGATCATTGTCAGTTACAATCGGTTCAGAAGATATTTAGTACTGGATCAAGAACATTCATCTAAGGCACTGTAGCATTTATATCCAAAAGCTCAGAATACTGATCCTTGCATAACTGTGAAGGTCCTACTCGAGCTATAGAGGGTGTCTCAATTGAGTGGAGAATTGTTCCTAAACATGAACTACTGAAATATTCGCTATTAGGTGATTTTCTTGAATGGAATGGTCTTCTCTTATCAAATACTCGAATAGACTTTTTTATAATGAGAAGATAACTACAGCTTTCGGTTATTAGTTGTTGAGCTATCGATATTTTCTAAGTAACACCAAAGTTTGTTAGCCTTCGTATCAGTTCGCACGTTTGGGATACCCTGTACTAACTAATTATCTCGACCTACTGTCTTGGTAGTACAAAGCATATTCTATCAACTGCTTGTACCTGTTAAACTTTCGTGTACCGTCAATCCAATCCACAGTTTTGCTGATGACAGCACTCTACATGCAGGAATTCATGCGTAGCAAGTCAAGCTCTTCCGATGATTGAGAAAAGAAGATTAGCAGCGATTTCCTCTCTGACCAGAGGCTCATAACATTATCACTGCTTGAGAACGCAACAATCCTGTACAGTTCAATGGTTCCAAAACATAATACTGTACCTTGACGAACAAAAAGCGTCCTAGCGATGGATGGCCTAGTTCTTCTACCCTAGAGTCATCTCGACAATAGCTGCAGCTGCTGGAAAAAACTATGCTCTTTGTTTAAGACTAAGAAGTACTTTATTCCTCATGACCTCTTCACTATACATAGGGCCCAGATAAGATCCAGCGTCAAGTATTGCTCACATGTTTGGGATGCTGCCGCCTCGACTAAACTATCCATGCTCGATGCTGTTCAGAAGAGGACTGTCTGATCGATTGATCCAAAAATTGTGCATTCCAATGTGCTTTGCCCTCCAGAGCTAATTCTGTGACGACCGTAGTGCGATGATAATTACAATTGGGGAATCGATAGCCAGCTTCACTCGCATCGAAAATTGGAATACCAGAAAAGAAGAAATCCTAAAAAAATAAATTTCTAGAATTCTTCTTTATGCTTCTCTAAATAAATCAGCCATTACTGACGTTGTTGTTTTATATTTGTGCGTGCATCTACATTAACCTGACCTTTGTCTTACTTCCAGGTCTGGTTCCAAAACCGTCGAGCAAAATGGCGCCGCCAAGAGAAAATGGAAGCTGCCCGTCTGGGCCTGAGCGAATATCACGCAGCGACCTTATCCAGAGCAGCAGCTGGAAGCAGCCTGGCCCTTCCAATGGACCCCTGGTTATCCCCGCCACTGCTAAGTGCCCTGCCAGGGTTCCTGAGCCACCCACAAACAGGATACCCTAGCTATCTGACCTCCCCAGTAGCAGGAGAGCCTCCTAGACCTCCCTTGGCCCATTCACACTCACCTCCAGGTGTTGGAGGTGTGGCTCCTGACCTCCGAACTACCTCGATAGCAGCGCTAAGGCTCAAAGCGAAGGAGCATGTAGAGAATATCACTAAGGGCATGCAAATGGTTTAAGGAACTTGTATATATTTAGCTGATAAGGGATGTGATCCACAAGACCGTAAAAGGAAGTCAAGGTTCTTAACAGTGTTAGAAAATATGTTGTACACAGCTCCACAAAGAGAGAAAAGATAGACCATAATATTTCTATGTATTTTTTGACGTAGAATCAGAATCCGGGATCAGAAAAGCTGGGGATGGTATTTCTTCCATCTTTCCTGGGGGTAGTTTTTGGATTGGAGGTGAACTCTAGGGGTGTGAGAATCCTTAAATCCACAAATTCGGAGTCAGCGTAGAAAAATACATAAAGATAGCATGTTCCAGCATTTCAACTCCATTTTCACCCCTCTTAAGTGTAGTTTTTTGAGTCTGGGGGTAAAATCTGGTCATCTAGGTACCTTTATATATATATATATATATATATATATATATATATATATATATATATATATTATAAAAATACGTACGAATATCATGGTCCGTCTCATGGATCTCGATCTTTTTTTATGAGGCTGCGTTATTTATGGAATAGTGAGAAGTGTCATTTAGGTTGGAATATGGTACCTGTAGTTATTCCTGTATTCGTGTCTTCGGCCACCTGTGTTTTTGTATCGGTTTTGTGGATTGCTGTTGTAAATAGTTTTGTATAGAGTTTTATTGTTGTTGAACATTGTGGTGAGTGTTGTATTGTAGAGACATTCTATCTCATTCCTCAAAATACATCATTACCGATAATATATTCTTTCGTGGCTTTTCAACCTGTACTGCTGCCATTTTAGATAAAATGTAGTATCTCCTGGACCTCTCTACTTTCAAAGACTCATATATTTGAGAAAGTTGGTCTGTCAAACAAACGCAATAGGTTTCAGGTATCCAATACCCAAGATTTGGATGACTAGGCCAGCTAGCTATTTGTCATAATTGTTGAAATTGGCTTTTATATCCTTAAGTTTGAAATTCTGAATTCAAATTGAAATATATTTTTCATATTACAATTGAAGACACCATTTGTGGCATGTAATTTGTTTTTAAAATTGCCTTTTTGCATTGAACTTACCTTAAGGAGTGACTCTTTAGTTCTGCGATTACTTTGTTGCAAAAACCAAGATAATAACAAACTAATTAAACTAAATATTTAAAATTTCGATAGAGTAAAAAGTTCCTATAAAAAATGTTTAAAGTCAATTTTCTCAATACAATGATTTTGTAACATGACAAGTCTTCAATTGCGCATTTCAAAAACCAGTCAACTTCAATTTTTCAGCGCGTTTTTCTACAAAAAACGTTTAATTAATGCATATTCTGGGTATATGTCTTGTAGCCACTTTCCTGGTTTTCGCATTTACTACTCCTCGACGAGTACTTGAATAGGTTATTTCAAAAACAGTACTCGAATACTTGATTTGTTTTAATTTCATATTTGTATGCTCCAAAATATCAATTTTAAATCAACTAACTACGAAGATCAGGTTACGGAACAATACGTACTTGCTTAGGAGTGTTCTTGATTTGATCGTTCTCATTTTTATAATGAAAAGTCCTTTAAATGTAGGCTGAATATTCCAAAAATCTGTTTGTATAGATAGTATAAAGATGAAATTATACGCACAACTCATATCCTGCAATATCAATTTTTTGTTGAGTAAAGACAAGTGATTGTCAATTATTGAAGACAGTGAAATAATAAGTCTATATACTTTTTTTGGGACACGAGGTTTCAAATGCCTATGGAATTTGTCTAAAAATAGTGCAATTTCTATGCTAGTCAAATTGTATGCTATACATTTTTTGGAATAGCATAAGATGGTGAATTAATGACTAATCATAGCCTGTCAAGTCCAGTCATGAAATGCACAGATCGTCATGGCTACCGCGCAATGTAACACCCACAGACCAAGCTAATTTTTCCAAACAATGAGTGAAAGTCAGTGTCAATATAAAAAAGCCACATTATTTTCTGTTGTCATTAGTATTTAAGACCGGCAAGAGTGACAACAGATGTAGTCACCGTTTTTGAAGTTCCACATATTTGTATACATGCTGATTTATGTATTGACATGCTAGGTATACTTGTTTACTTTTTTGTAAAGTTGTCCATCCTTCAAACTGATTTCAGAGTTATGATTTAGATACTAAAATTAAATAAAATACAATATACAAGCCTTAAGAATTTTTTAATCTACAAAGAGAATCCAATAGAGTTAGGAAATGTCTAATAGCGCTAGTAAAGCAACTCGTGTCTTTATTATTTAAAACTAAGCCTAGGCTGTATTTCTTCCTTAAAACCTCACAGTTGTTCATTTTTGTACAGTTTAGATTAAGAGAGCTGGTGAAATTGGAAAGATAAATCCTTATTACGTACTATCGATACTTAAGTAAGTACTTGTATCAGACATCATTTTTATGTTTAGGATTGTTTCGTCTGTTCCACATACGCTAAGGTTACTACCATCTTTGACATATTAAGTTAAGATGCTGAAAAATTATTTTAAAAGAAATGCCTGCTACTATTTCGTCAAATATTTCAAGGTGTTTGTTCCTTTTTCTTATACATATGTGGTAAATAATGGAAAACGCATTGTACTTAAAAATGCTCATCGACCTGTAAATACAGAATCGCAACTTATTTGTAATGTATTCATCAAAAATTTTGGACGTTCAGATTGATCAGCACGTAATCCTTGAGAATTATATGTAAAGGGTTGTTAATGTAAATTGGGAAAATACGACTCAATGATATCTTCAGAAAATGAAACTTACATTGTACTAAAGCGTCATCTTTTCAATTTTACAATTATGCACAGGATTACCGTCCATCCGTCTGATCTTCCCTTTTTGTATTATGTATGCTGTGAATTTTTGTAAATATGCACATTAAATTATATACAAAGTACACAAGTGTATCATTTAATGGTCAACCGGTAAAGTGGTTCTATACTTAAGCCCGGTTGTACCGCCTTCCTCATATCTACCGCTTTTCAAAAATGATCCATATGACAAGTATGCTTCTGTTACGCCACCCTATTTTGCCAGAAACTTAGCTAAGATAAAGTTCGTCTGACAACAAGAAGTCGGTAGTATTTTTTTAAGGAATAACTTGAACTTATTTATTTCCATCCCGAAGATTTGAAAGTTTCAAGGTAATTATAGTTACGTTGGTGAGATATCTAGTGTAAGATAAAACAATCCATTTAAACTTTTTTTTCTGTACTCATTATCACTACAGAGGGGCATATGTCGTTTATTTCTCTGTAACGCAATGAGGATGTTGAAAAATATGCGAAATCCTTGAACCATTATACCATTACACCTATGACATCTGTCTAATTTCAGTCTTTTGTCCGATAAACAAATAAATGAATCATTTCATTTAGAATCGGAGTATTGCTTTCAGATATGGGGAGCTACCTCACCAAATGGAAAATCAGTTAATCGAAAGAAGATTTATCTTTAATGCGACCAACATTTTTATGAACTTTACACTTAATGTTAAAATTGCAGACAATGGAAAACAGACAGCCGTTTTGTGTTTATTTTCCGCTCTATAAAGGATTGACATAATGTTCAATCCAACCTAATTTTTAATCACTTAAAAACAATCGTCACAATTAGATCTCTGATATACTATGTCTGAAAAATGTTTTCATGCCAAACAGTATAGCCTTCCATCCCACAAATGACTGATCATTTTGATTCTCTATTGGATCGTTATAATCACCTTGAAAGATTAAAGTCCTTCTAGTATTATTAAGAAGATGAGACACCGTAGGTCCTATGTCAGGGTCGAGTTCCATCTATTCCTCGACATCTAATAAAAATCCTTGTGACCATATTCATGTCAACTGGTAGGATTACCTAAGGTGTAAAATAAAGCCACGAAATTGTAGATATCTGATACGTTTGCTGATTTCACAATAACTTATTCGAATGAAACAGACAAAGTGGAGCTAAAATAATTTGCGGGAATTGAGAAATACCAGAAAAAAGTAACAAATGCCAATATGTCTATAACTGGCTGATGTGTTTCTTTGATATCTTTATAATAAAATGGATTATATTCAATACTTTTTTAGTCTTCTCTGGAAAGTTAAAAGTTGTGCATGAAAAATCTTTATCCTAAGCCCACTTAACCACGTTTTCCACCACTCTTTTGTAGGTTTCACATTTCGGGAGGAATATATTTCTCTTCAACTGCTGTACAGTGCTTGGCTGGTTAGCATCGACCTTATTTTTTTAGAATCGATACAGACAAAGTTCTGGGAAGGTTACACCTGGTGATCTTGCATGCCAAATCACATAGCCTAGTGGAAAAGTCCTTTAAGGTAAGTTCCAATGGTACACGGCACGCCCTTAGTGGCACTGATTAGCGTTACAGCGATATAATGTGAAGTTTTGTGGGCCCTATAATTCGACAATTTAACCCACAAGAAATCTGGTTCCAGAAGGACAGTGCAACATGTCACATAAGGCGATGTCATCTTGCCTCTCCATGAGGTCACTAGTTTTAATCGCCCAGTATCTTTTCTTTGTGGGGATTTCTAAAACATAACATTTGTACCAACAATCCAAGCAATATGCTCGTAGAGCCACTGAACAGAAATATTTGGGAAGCTATTAAAAATATTCCTCCCGGAACCTGCCGCAAAGTGACGTAACACATAATCAAAGGGCTTAGGGGGCTCCCAGAGGCAGGCATTCATTTCATCATTTTTCATACACATTCCCAACTTTCCATAAGAGATCAAGGTAGAAAAACTGGGCCATTTCATTTTATTTCGAAGATCTGGTGTTTTGATGTTTTGATATTATCAATGTTTCTCATGAAAGGTCGATATCACCCAATAGTCTTCTTGCAATAGTAACTGCACGCTTCATAATTTATCCTACATGTAGAGAGGCTGATATCATTCTACATCATCAAGCTGTCTGACCGCAAACAAGATAGTCTAAGAATAATTACAAGAATCATACATGTTACTTATCTTAATCTTCGGATTTTGGGATATAATGCTCAATGTGTCTAATAAAATACTTTACTCATAAAGCTTTGTATTGAGCATTGCATCCCAAAATCCGAAGATTAAGACAAGTAAAAGAACTAACTTTTGTAGAATCATACATATTGTATCTAGTGGTTTCAAAAAGACATATAACACAGACCCTGAAGTGTTATTCCTCCCTGACTAGTCTATTGATCCTGAATCAGTATTCCTTGCAGAGAGTTAGCTAAGTCGTTGGCGAGTGTTCGGTGGGGTATTTCTTGGTAGCGTCGTCCGTAGCCGACGTTCTAAATGGTTGATTAACGAGGACAAACAGGTATTAGCATTTTATTGGCTCGCCAGTTGCCAGCCGCCCTCTAGATAAAGTGGAATTA